AAAAAAAAAAAAAGTACTTGAGCACACACTAAATAATGATAATATATATTAGATGACATTGAAGAATAAAAATAAGACATGAAACCCTACCTTCAGAATGATTTCAGTATACAAAGAGATAAAAATACATATATAGAAAATATTATAGTAGAAGAGATTTAAGGTAGAACAATCAGTTAATAAGTTCTGTATAGTAACATTTTATGGGATTTTTGAGGTAGTATTCAGGACTCTGCTAGCAAGAATAGAAAGGGGAGAGTCTATATAAGCTGATGGAATGTGAAGTTGAGGCAGAAAGGAAGGAGCCAGACACCATAGATCAAGTCATTGTGGGAATCGAGAAATGCATAAAAGTTGCTAATCTCCATTTTTGGATAACATGTTTTTCACAAGAGCAAATGACTGATTTCAGCAAAATTCAGTAATTTTAGAATAATTGTAAAGAAATAGTACAATTTCGATATATGGCAATGCATGAACAATAGAAAGTTAAGAGAATCGATAATTCTTTCAGGCTAATAAAAGCTTTTTTGAAATGGCTGGCTATAAAGTAAAGGGTCAGAAGGTGAGGTCTCACGGACAATGCACAGAATGGAAGGAGTGTGAGGTGGAATCTCATGGGCAGTTTTGATTGCAGAGGAGACTGTCAGTGAACAGGAATTTGGATGTTGTTAGGTAGAGCATCGCTGAGACCAAAGTGAGTTTGGAGTCACTGGGAATATTCACAGAACTATGGTGAGGAATATTCACGGAACTATGGTGAATATTCCCAGTGATAGGAATGATATTTGGGCATGCTGGGAATTCCAGAAGCTGAGAAGTGGTTGAGTTGGGAGAGGAAGAAAAGGATCTGCAAGTTAGGAACCAGGATATTGATAGCTCTCCCTGAAGGAGGGTGTAAGGTACTAGAAGAAATTGTGCCTCACTGTGCCATCCTTTGAGAAAGTGGTATTGTGAGAAGAATGCCAGTTAAGATGAAAAGATGGAATAATGGTTATTGAGAGATAAACCTCAAGGGTACTCAGAATCTCTTCGCAAGAGTAGAAAGGTTTTGAAAGACATAGTATTAAAAGACTTGTGTGGGTGTGTGCATGGGCAAGAGAATTCAGAAGGCAGGACGGGCAGCAGACATTGGCTAGTCTTGCAGAACAACAATGACATATAAATGGCAGGGAGCAAGATGACACCTTGAGAGCACAACGGGAAGGGTACGTTAGAGGAGGATAAGATGAAGCTGGTCTGCTTTCTAATTAGAAAGATTGTATGGAAATGATGTGCTAATCGAAAATGCAATCTGAGATATGCATGTGTAATGGTATTTTGTGTTTATGTGGTTTGTAGGGAAAGAGTTTAGGCTGACTATATTCAGGGCTTTGGAATATAAGCTGCTTTTTCTCCTCCTTAATGAGTAGCGGATCTTGGTACAAAAATCATGAGATGGGTGGGTAAGGAGAGAAGAATTAACAAAACACTGAATGAATAAAAAATGACAAAACCCTAATGAGAACTTGGTGTCCTTAGGTATGCATGTATGTATGCATATTCATGCACATATATGTATATATTACATAATATGCATATATATGATTTCAAATGTGGAAAAGTGTGTTTAAAGATACAGTAAATTTTAGGATTTAGAAGATTATTAAAACAATAGAGTATCTTCTTTATCATTTACCCTTTTAAAAAATATAAAATATTTCAAACATACAAAAAAATCACAGACAATAAAATTGTCATTAATGTTCCCACCACCCTAATTAAATAGAAGTCAACATTTTGTCCTTTTGTCTCATGACTTTTTGTTCCAGAATATTTCTTTGAGATTTAAAAACTCATACATGTAGTGCTAGTCAATGGGTTGCTGGAGCCAATGAGTACCAGAAAATTGTTAAGTTTTCAGGAATTTTGAGAGACAAATGATATCATATTGATAATTTGAAAGTGGCCGTAGTGGAGTATTTATGCCACAGAAATGAACAAGTGCTACCAATCAGCATTTTATTATTTTGGTTGAACAACTATCTGTTCCAAACTTTACTAGCACATTGCTGGTCCAAGTTTGCTTAGTTTAACTGCTACCTTGTATTTTATTGAATGAATAAAACTCAGTTTATTAATATTTATCCACTACTCAGAAATATTTGGGTCTTTTCCTTGTTTATTACAAACAATGCTGAGTTCAGCTCTCTTGTATGAATCTCCTTGATCACATATGCCAGGTGATTCCAATGTAGAAACCTAGAAGTGGAATTGCTGGGACCTGAGGTTTGTGCATTCTCAACTTTACCAAATATAACAAGTAATTTTCTAGAATCACTCTAACAGTTACAGTTCCACCAGGAATTTTATCATTTTTTGTTTCCCACATTTACTGTATAAAATGATATGAAAAATACCAGGGATATTTAGCATTTCACTGACAAGAAATAAGATTGAGGATCATTATCAATTCTTTCTCATAGTTGTGGCTTTTCTTTGCCTTTTGTGTTGTCTTTGACTTATAGAAATTTTAAAATTTATGTTGACAGTCACCTTTCATAGTTACTAGACATATACATTTTCTCCTTTTATAGTCCATTTTTTGATTGAGTTGTTTGTCTTTTTTCTTATTGAACTGTAGAGGATCTTTCTATATCTTGGCTATTTATCTTTTGATGGCTATTTTGTTGACAAATAGCACAGTTCATGACTTTCCTTTTTCACTTTATTTATGATGTCTTTCAACATATAGAAGCTATAAATTTTATTATAGTTGAATTTTTCAATTATTTCCTTTATAGTTTATGCTTATTAGTCTTGTGTGAGATACCCTGATATCATAAATATGTTTTCTAATATTTCATTTTGAAAGCTGACAGATATGCTTTTAGCATTTGGGCTCTTTTGACTAGTTCTTTAAAGTGTATAAATTGGCTGTCATTAATACCAAAGAGAAGTTTGGAAAGTGTACAGATTTTGGGTTGAACTTAAATTATTCATCAGCATTCTTTTGTCATTCTGAGGCCAGCAGATGCTACATATTTGGAACACGGAGATGCATAGGGCATGGTCTCAGTCGCCTGCTGACTACAAACACAGCACATACAGTATAGTATAAGGCCTAAAAGAAGCTTGTTCATTTGTTCTGGAAGAATGAAGGAAATGAATCATTTGCCATGGAACTGTTAACTTTTCTGTTATTTCATATACTCTGGTATACCAGCAATTTTATGGAAAATGAAGTTTACTACCTTAATATCAGCCGTATGTCCTTTAAAGGATACCAGTATTCACTTACATCCTTTTCCTGATTAAATGACAGTGGTAAAAATTTGTGGGTCTACATAGACATTTTCCCCCTAATTTTGCAACAAGAATAATTTATCACAGATATTGCTTGCTGAGATGCTTTGGATTTATGGGAAGGTTAACAATCTGTTTTTAAAGATTGGTTTCTGTTTGCAGAGACGAAATGGAGAAGATATACCCGTAGCCCAGACTAAGAACATCAATCACAGAAGATTTGCTGCTTCCTTTAGATTGCAAGAAGTGACAAAAACTGACCAGGATTTGTATCGCTGTGTAACTCAGTCAGAACGAGGCTCTGGTGTGTCCAATTTTGCTCAACTTATTGTGAGAGGTAAGGTAAAATTGTTTTTACTTTATTAAGTCGTATGGCTTTGTTAGAACAAAAGCAACTCTACAGGTATATTGATTGATTTCTAAATCATAGTGTTTTTAATCTCAAGACCCTGTATATAAAAACCATATTATTATAAAAGTTTTGAGGCCGGGCGCGGTGGCTCACGCCTGTAATCCTAGCACTCTGGGAGGCCGAGGCGGATGGATTGTTTGAGCTCAGGAGTTCGAGACCAACCTGGGCAAGAGCAAGACCCTGTCTCTACCAAAAATAGAAAGAAATTAATTGGACAGCTAAAAAATATATAGGAAAAAATTAGCCGGGCATGGTGGCGCATGCCTGTAGTCCCAGCTACTTGGGAGGCTGAGGCAGTAGGATTGCTCGAGCCCAGGAGTTTGAGGTTGCTGTGAGCTAGGCTGATTCCATGGCACTCTAGCCAGGGCAACAAAGTGAGACTCTGTCTCAAAAAAAAAAAAAAAATTTTGGTAATGTCTTAAGGTAAAATTAAGAATGTAATTGTAAAGTTTTTCAAGGTTCCAACAAGTGTTTTCCGTCAAAAGGGATCTATTTTATAATGCTCTAATAGGCCTGAATATTAATATATAAAATATCTTATTCCATTTTGCTATCATCTAGTTTGCATTTTAACTTTAGATCTAGTTCTTCCTGTTTAAAACTCTTTTGTTCTTCAAAGCATTGTGGCAATGAAGGCAAGGTCAATCATTCTATTCTCATGAACCTGTAAATTTTACCAGTATAAAAATAGTAGTAAATGTTCACTAATTCGTGCTCCCTATAGAATCTTAGAAAGTTAGAACTGCTAAGATGTCTTTATTAATATTCTTGTATACTAAAGTTACTAGAGGAATGTCAGGAATTCTGACCTATCAGTACATATCTGTAGTGAATCCTGGAAAGATATGTACAAGTGCAAAACATATGTTACATTCATTCACAATTTACTGAGTCCCCATTATATTCCAGGTACTGTTCTAGGTTGTAAAGATACAATTATAAATAAAGTATAAAGTCCCTGCTCATATGGAACCTTAATATTGAGATATGTTAGGCATGCTACATACGTAGATGTTGAAAATGTAGTATCAAGCCATGGTATATGTTATAAAGAAAAATAAAGACACAAAATGACAGAGAATATTTTAGTAAGGTGGTCTGGAAAGCCACTTCGAAAAAGTAACAACTGAGTTGAAATCATTAAAAAAACCAACCAAACAAACAGAAACAAAACAAAAACAATGAGGACTTCAGCCAGGTGAAAATGTAAAAGAAAGTAGCTTTGTTAACTAGGGTATTGAGCACCAATCAACATAGACACAAATGAAAATAATTATAAACTATGTAAATCTCTTCAAGGATAAGTTTGGGAAAAAATATCTAAACTGTGCTGAGATTGTCAGAGATATCATGGAAGGCATCTAACAATGAGTCCTCTTTGAGGAACAATCTGAAGGTTGAAAAGTTGCCCAGGTTAGGGGGGGATGGGTGGAGGGGCAGGGGGAAAAGAAAGAAGCACCAGCAAGCAGAGAGCACAGAACATGCCAAGGCCAGGGGCCTGGAAAGAGACTATGAGATACATCCATATTCTGGTTACTACGATTTATAATGCTTGGCATCAAATGTCTTTTACATATATTATTTCAAGATTTCCTTAATTTTAATACTTTAACCTTTCATACTTTTAGAGAGAAAGAAAGTGAAATTCAAGCTATTCGATAATTTGCCCATAGCCACAAAAATCTAATAGTTGACTGAGCCAGAATATAACCCCATGTTTCTTGATTCTTAATGGCGAGCTCATTCTTTTCTACCCCAGCTTTCTCTCACATTAACATTACTGAATAATGCTGTTAGCCTCTTGTATACTTTATCTTGGGAGGAGACCATATGGCTTATTAAAAAGTTTTATCTTTGTAGATTAAATATGAGTGTTTTCAAGGAAACGTCTCTTGTATCCCTGTAGTCAGCTCATATCACCTGCAGAAGTTCATGAGATCATAGCCCCAATTTATCGAATAATAAGAAAATATGATAATATTTGACTCCAGTGTTCAGGCACAGAAATGATTTATCCCGTGTTCACAGATGCATGGATATTCATCTTTGTTAAGCCCCATTCTAGCATCTTTCTCACTTGAACCTAATTTTGAAAGCCTGAAGGTGTCCTTGGGTAATTTTCAGGGTGATTAATATGCTGTAGGTACTGGAATGTGGGTGTCCTATTGAATTTTAATGCTCAGTGTATCTTCATAGTACTATATATGCATTCACTATATGCAGCCTCTGAAGGACATGGTGTCTTAATAGTGTACTTAGAGTGCTTTGAATACCATACAGTATATATACTATGTATAGTTATGTACAATATATATCATATATAGTTACAATATTTATATAGTTATCTATACATTTTTTTCGAGGAAGTCATCCCATGATATATTTATTGGACAGATTGTAGAAGAAAGCGATGCTTTTATCAAGGTGCTCCCTTTATATAGTTTCTTCTTTTGTATGGATATTTTCTGAGTGTTTATTTTAAAAGAAAATCATTTTTTCAATACCAGATCTCATGTTTTAATCAACAAGTAGATTTTACCATTTATCAAAGCTCGGTTTTCTTTACCTGGAAACTATATTACAGCTATTCTAGGAGCATTACTTGTAAAATAAATAATTATTTCAATAAAATTTATAAAATCCTTAAATTTCATTGAGAATTTTGATGCATTTTTCTTTTTTTCTTTTTCTCTTTTTTAAGAAAGTCCTGCTGTGTTTAATATAGATTTTTTTTTTTTTTGAGACAGAGTCTCACTCTTTTGCCTGGGCTAGAGTGAGTGCCGTGGCGTCAGCCTAGCTCACAGCAACCTCAAACTCCTGGGCTCAAGTGATCCTTCTGCCTCAGCCTCCCGAGTAGCTGGGACTACAGGCATGCGCCACCATGCCCGGCTGGTTTTTTCTATATAGTTTTAGTTGTCCGATTAATTTCTTTCTATTTTTAGTAGAGGCGGGGTCTCTCTCTTGCTCAGGCTGGTCTCGAACTCCTGAGCTCAAACAATCTGCCCGCCTTGGCCTCCCAGAGTGCTAGGATTACAGGCGTGAGCCACCGCACCCGGCCTTCTTTTAAGTTTTATGTTGGGAAGGTTGGGTTCAAATATGACGGTTCTTTGAATGTGTTTTCCAGAGTCTGCTAATATTTTAGAAATATATTTTGATAGTTTGTGCAGTTTTATTTTTCTTTTCAACATATTTTAGGTTGTTCTGTAATACTTATAGGTGATACTTTGCTGTTTTATTTGAAAACCAGTATAGAGGTATACGTTTTCTTGTTTGTCCAGATGACCACCAAATAGATACTGCTAACCAAAAACATACCTTTAAGGGTCAGCTGTCCTGGTGTTGAAACAGTGCTGAGAATTAACTGTGATGACAGGTCCTATCTCTCATTGGCACTTTTAAAGCTGACACCCTGTTACATGGATAGAAAAGATGGTAATTTTAAAGGAAATTTTTGGGGCAGTGATATGAATAGTCTTTAATAAGAGCTGGCATACTATTGCCTGTTGTCAAAGATGACCCAAGGGTAAGAGTTTATTAGTGCATTTTCACTTAAACTGAAAGTGACAGGGCACGCTTAAGGCTTTTTCGTTGCTATTTGTTATAAATGAAAATTTCACTGAAAAATTCTCATGCTGAAGAGTATCGATCTATGTTTTCCCTCAGCCAGAGGAAGGAAAAAAAAAGTGTGGTGAAACAGAATTTACTTTGTCATGACTTTAACATTGCTTCATTTTGAGTAATGATAACATCTTTAGCTTTCGGAAGCCAATCTTTATTGACAAAGAAGTTTTTACAGAGATGAGATGAAGAGCAGACATTTTTGCTTGATGTTTTACAAAATCAAAGTGTAAAAAGTATGAAATACAAGTTGAAGTGGTGTTTGCAAGCTCCAAACTGAAAACACCAACTTCATGGTCGAATTATGCTACCGATCGCTCTGCTCAATCTCTACTTCATTTGCAATTTTCTCCTTCTTCCTTTTCCACCTATCTAAATCAAAGACCCACTTACATTTCTAGCCAACTGACCTGCATAAACTTTTATAAAATTCTCTGATCGCTACGCCTGACATACTCAATTTCTATTCCAAATTGTTTGTTTTTATATCTATCATTTTTACCTGTGAAATTATTACATTGTAAGTTCTTTGATTTGAAAATCACAGTTTTTTTGTTTGTCATTGTTAATGGTTTAATTTTGAAATTTTTATGTCAACTATTAGTCATTATCAAAATGCTTAGGAAATAAAAAAGTATTCAGTTAATAATATCTGTGCCTAATGAATAACCTCTAGCTGGAAATTGGGGTGAATATCAATCCATTTACCCAGCTTTACTCAGGGTGGGTACCACAGAGTTGGAGTTTAAAATCACAAGAAATTCAAATTGATGTCAATATTTTTCTTGTTAGACAGTATAAACTAGCTTGAACACAAGGGTATTTACTGACTGTTGTGACTGGAAGGTGTAGGATAGGCAGGCTTCAGGGTTGGTTGATCAAGTCATCAAAGATGCAGGTTCTTCCAAATCCTTCATTCTGCAGCCCATGGTGGCTTTTATCCTAAGCCAGGCTCACTTCATAGTCACAGGGTAGCAATATGGCTACATGCTTCCTTGGTCTCATCCAATTGGGGATAAAGAGGGCATTAATTCCCACAGCTATTAAAAACCCGCGTTGGTGGATATTGGAGAGGCAACTAGTATGTCTAGTAAAGAACTTTTGTACACTGGACTCTAGATCATAAATATGTTATTCAGAGGTAATTATTCATTCTATTCAGATAAGAGAGTAACTGGGAAAATATTTCAAGAGAAAGTACAGCTTAACCTTGAAGGACATACAGACTTTGGAATATGATAAAATAGGAGAGGGGTATTATGACACTAAATCAAGTAACAGTATGTGTCATAGGTAATCAGTGGGAT